TCGCTGGAAAATCCTTCGTACTTCTCGTTTTAGAAGGCGGTGGTGATGGCGCTTCCTGCGCTGCCTTCCCAGGCTGTCTCGGGGTTCCTCCTGTGCAGAGGCGGAGACTTTTTCAGCTTGAAATTTCTGCGCGCAGCTTGCACTTCACGGGTCGTCCTCTTTGGAGTGGTTCTGGGGGCCCTTGGTGTCTGCAGATCCCACTTGGAAAGCAAACTCGCACTTAGACTAAAGTAGCATCAAGCGATGTGGGTCTGTGTGCCCTTCAGTTTTCTCGCTTCTGGTTTTGCTGTGGTTTTGTAAGACTGTGATTCTTTACCCCTGCTCCCTCATGTTAGAGTTTGGATCAAAGGGGTTCCCAGCCTGTGGTACTGTTAAAAAGGAGGATGCTAGGCACCCTGAAGATTTTGCTCTGCCTTTCAGGCAGGCCATGGATAATACATCTGTGGTACGCTAGAAGACTTTGGCCCCAGCTTTGTCTGGGTGAGATTTCCAGTTGCTGTAGGGCTTTATGAATGCTGTGAAGGTGAAATTTCCTACCTGGCCATGATTTTCAAATCTTTCTTTGTTGCTCTTGGTTTTCAGGCCATAACTCAAATGACGCTGATAAAAACTTTTTACCATCACAGGAGGACTTGGTATCTGCAGCTTGCTTTGGGAAGAGTGGTCTAAATGTTTGTTGATGTTCGATAATTCCCTTGCCTGGGTTACTACGTAGGAAGCTTCCTAAAGCATCCTTGCTGCTGAGTAGGGCTCGCAAATATCAGTGAAGAATATAGGTTGTGTTATTTTTGGCCGAGTCCTTCTTGGGAGCTTAAAAAAGTATATCGAGTGGCTCTTTCTTCCTCTAGAGTTAATAATGTTTGTACACTTGTTATTTTTCAGGTACCTTTAAAACCAGGAAGGAGTCTTATGGATTGGATTCGACTAACTAAAAGTGGGAAGGACTTGACTGGTTTAAAAGGGAGGCTAATTGAAGTGACCGGAGATGAGCTTGCTAAGCACAACAAAAAGGAGGACTGCTGGATATGTATAAGAGGTTGGTTGCTGTGATGTTGCTTCAGCATTTTTTTTTTTTGTCTAGCCTCTCTCTTCTGCACTTAGAGAAGAAGCAGCAAAACCCAAACAACAAAAGCCATACCCCAAAACAAACTATGTGCCATCTATGTTTAGGCCAGGTGTAATCTTGACGTAATGGGATACAACTTGGTTCAAATTAGAGATTTTATGTTACAAAGCTTTTCTTTGCTTTCAAGCCTTTCTTAAGAAGTCTTCCAAGTGGGCATATTTTACCCCTATTTTATATTTGCATATGAAAATAAGAAAACACAAGATTGTAAGTGGTGCCTCAAACAAGGGCTTAGCAAGAATAACATATTGAAAATGCTGACATGTACTTACACTCCTCACTCCTGGACAGTTTATTATCCTTAGCAGTTGAATATTTTTAGGGGTTGCTGTAAAGCATCTAGAGACATATAAATATTAAAAATGTTACTGAAAGCTGTAGAATGGTCTTTGGGAAATAAGTGTGTAAGCCCAAATATTACTTCATAAAATTTAGTAAGGCAAATGACAGTTGCCACACAGAGCAGTTTTAATCTTGTCGTGGTTTAACCGCAGCCAGCAACTAAGCACCACGCAGCCACTCGCTCACTCCCCCCATGATGGGATGGGGGAGGGAATCAGAAAAGTGAGAAGACTTGTGGGTTGAGATAAAGGCAGATTAATAGGTAAAGCAAAACAATGAATTCATTCACTACTTCCCATTGACAGCCAGGTGTTCAGCCATCTCCAGGAAAGCAAGGCTCCATCACACATAATGGTTACTTGGGAAGACAAAAGCCAACACTCTGAACATCCCTGCCTTCCTCCTTCTTCCCCCAGCTTCATATGCTGAACATGATGTCATATGGTGTGGGATATCCCTTTGGTCAGTTGGGGTCAGCTGTCCCAGCTGTGTCCCCTCCCAGCTTCTTGTGCACCCCCAGCATGCTTACTGGTGGGGTGGGGTGAGAAGCAAAAAAGGCCTTGACTCTGTAAGCACTGCTTAGCAGTAACTAAAACCTCCCTGTATTATCAACACTGTTCTCAGCACAAATCCAAAACATAGCCTCATACTAGCTTCTATAAAGAGAATTAACTCTATCCCAGCCAAAACCAGCACAAATCTGTACCTATCATAACAAATATCTGTGGTAGCTGAGCCATTCTATTTATGTTGTTATTTTTATGAAATTTTAGCTCAAAAGTTGGAAGTATTGTATGTTATAAGTTAGAAATATGCAAAAGGTGGTTTGGAGCAATAGCCCTGGCTAGAAGAATATTTTCAGTGCTGAAGATGAAGTTCCTAGTTGTCTTACAAAAAGGAGTAAAATGTTTACTCTCTAGTTTAATTATTTAGATGCTAAAATACACTAATATTGCCTTAAATTTGTTATGAGATAAGGGCACTTCCTATGAAGATAGATTAATCTAAGATCAGAGTAGCTATTGTGACCTTTTCTTTCACTTCACATGAGTGCTTCATGTTAGTGTAAAAGTTAAGACTTTCTTTATGAGGGCAACTGTGTCTTTGTTGGGTGTTAAAGGGGATGAGAGTGAAAGTAAGGGTAAAATGTCATTCAGTATTGGCTTTTGAACAAAATAATAGGATTGTTAATGCTCTGTGTGCTGCTCTTGTACATACTAGCAAAACTATAGTGGGAGGAGAGCTAAAGAAAGCTTATTTACTGTGGAGATCTGTTCCTTTTTTTCTCTCACAAAAAGGGACGTCTACTACTGCAGGCAGAATCACTGCTAAAAATGTTTCTGTTTTGTTTTTAATCTCTTCCACCACCACCCCCCCCCGCGATTGCATCTCTGAGGTTCATTTTTACAAGAACTCCATCATGCTGCTTCTGTATCTGTCTTTACATTTTCCCATCTTGGCCTCTTTGTTCTAGAACTACTGATGAAAAAAACCAGCATAACCGAGAATCCTGATGGATTATCTGTAGACCTGATATGAGGACAGGTAGTAAAATAACACCATTGTGGAAAAGCTAAATTAAGTCTTTGCATTGTTAGTTAGACTAGCTCCATATGAAAGAGCAGAAATTGATGAGAGGAATGTGAAGTAGAAGAAGATTAGGAGCTAACTTTGTTTAAACACCAGTATGGTGATCATCAAAGCAAGCTGTCATATAGAATCATAGAATGCTTTGGGTTGGAAGGGACCTTTAGAGGTCATCTAGCCCAACCCCCCTGCAGTGAGCAGGGACAGCTTTAACCAGATCAGGTTGCTCAGAGCCCCATCCAACCTGACCTTGAATGTTGCCAGGGATGGGGCCTCCACTACCTCTCTGGGCAACCTGTTCCAGTGCTTGACCACCCTCATTGTAAAACATTTCTTCCTTATATCCAGTCTAAATCTACCCTCCTTTAGTTTAAAACCATTACTCCTTGTGCTGTCACAACAGGCCTTGCTAAAAAGGTTGCCCCATCTTTCCTATGGGCCCCCTTTAAGTACTGAAAGGCCACAATAAGGTCTCCTCACAGCCTTCTCTTCTCCAGGCTGAACAACCCCAACTCTCTCAGCCTGGCCCCATAGGAGAGGTGCTCCAGCCCTTGGGTCGATCATTTTTGTGGCCCTCGTCTGGACCCGCTCCAACAGGTCCATGTCCTTCTTGTGCTGAGGGCCCCAGAGCTGGACGCAGCACTCCAGGTGGGGTCTCGCCAGAGCAGAGTAGAGGGGCAGAATCCCCTCCCTCGACCTGCTGGCCACGCTGCTTTTGATGCAGCCCAGGATATGGTTGGCCTTCTGGGCTGCAAGCGCACATTGCCGGCTCATGTCCAGCTTTTCATCCACCAGTACCCCCAAGTCCTTCTCTGCAGGGCTGCTCTCAATTTCTTCATCCCCCAGCTATAAATATAGGCCATAAATATATAAAGTGGAATCTCAGGGGCATTAAAAAAAATGTGAGGGATATATATATATATATATGAGAGATTTCTTTTGCTCCTGCAAGTTTGATGGTAAACTGAACATTCGGCTAATGTTCAAGAAGTCCTATCTGTGTAGATATTTACTTACATTTTCTCGTGTGCAGTTCTCAGTTCTGCACGCAAGATGGCATAGTGGATACATCCATCAGAAGATCAGGCAGTAAAATATGCAAAGATCCTTCCTTTGTTTTCCTGGGATGGTTGTTCTTACCACTAGAATTGTCCCAAGTATGTCTCCCCCTGGCCCAGTGCTGAATGCCAGCTCTTCTTCTGAAGTAATTAATGTACATTTCCTAATGTGTTAAAAGCCTCTTATGAAAGCACTGACATAGTTCCGCTTCTGGTAGCTTCCTGTTTTGATAATGTTATATATCTTTAAAAACTCTGCTAGGTAGGCCTGCCATAGTACCCTAAGCGGCAGTATGTAGTTAAATCTGTTTATAGTTGCGTTCTTCAGGCTTTAATTAGTCTGGTTGCATAGCAACAATAATTAGACTTCATCATTTCAGACCTATGAAGAAGCATTGTTTTATCTCCCTGGAAATGCTAAGAATACTACTTGTGCAGAAAGAATGCTGAACTCTTTTACTGGTACAAATTTGCTACTGGAGTTGTAAGCCTTTAATGAGCATAGGCTATGTTTAGTTTTTTATATTGCTGAATCTGAAGAATGGAAATTTTGTTGCTGATGGTAGCAGTTTTTCCTTATGGGAGACAGATCATTCCCATAGGCATTTTATTCCATAGGTGATGGCTGGTAGGGAAGCAACTATGACAGCACTTTAGGAGTAACTTAATTGGAAGGGAGAGTGAAAACAATTCTGTGTGCTAACTGGCTCAATTTTATGTTGCTGTTTAAACCAGCCTCTGGTTCTTTTACCCCCTAGCAAGGATACATCATGTTCAACTTCAAGGGTTTATTTTGTTAAAGTCTTAACCCTGCAGGTTTCTCCAGACGTTCACTGGGACAAGTGATATGGCATTGTAGGATTGGCCTCTCTATGTAATAAGATATGTCTTGTGCTCTATACGATTGTGTAACTTACGTTTCTGTTTTTGGGAAGTCATACTGTTTGTTCCAGTGATGTCTACTGTTTGCCATTGTGCTGTTTAATCTGCGCTAACCTTTCAGCTGGTTTTGGAGATGGGAGTGGTTGTAGTGGTTGTAGAAATGCTGCTCATGTTTCTTTATTCCATTTTCTGCAGGATTTGTCTATAATGTCACACCATACATGGAATATCATCCTGGTGGCGAGGATGAACTAATGAAAGCAGCAGGAACTGATGGTACAGATCTCTTTGATCAGGTGAGAACAACTGGGAGCGTAGGGCACTTGCTCACTGAAAGGTATTGTGAAAAATGCATGTTTTCTGATTATTTTTAGGGCATTCCAGTGGAAATGGTGATTTGAACCTTTTTCAGGTCTAAGGGAAGGCAATGGGTTACTGCTCAGAATGGCATTTACGTGCTGAAAGAGGCATGTAGTTTGAACTTTGTACCAAAAGACAATAATGAAAATGTGACTTTATGTTGTTTGAATGATGCTTCAATTTGACCATTTTATTAAAACAATTTTTTAGCAGAAATATACCAATAAAGGTAGCAACAACTTGAGATACCACCTTTTTACTAAATGACTAATTGCTGTTGTTTGAGAGGCATTTTCTTCTCAGAACTTTCACTTTTTGAAAAATGCTTGTAGTATTCTTTTGTCTATTGGCTGCTGCGTTATCAGCGAACAAAGTACTAAGGAAAAATGCTGGGGCTGCTATTAACTGATTGCGGACAAATCACAAGATGATGGTTTGTCTCTTCTGTGTTTAGCACTTCTTTAAATGTTTTGAAAAGACTCAGAAAATAAAGGGTCTGCAGATGGGTGTACTTTCTGTAAGGAATTGCTTGCAAACCTGGTGCTGTAAAAGATGATTCACTGAGTTGGTATTTTTTAGAAACAGACAGTCTTTGAGTCTCCTTGGCTCACAAGGTTTGCCTGAGGAACTGGGAAAGAGCAGAAAGGAAGTCTCTGTTTCTGAAAGGAAATCTGTTATCCCTTTACAGTTCATGCATCACAGTATGTTACGCCTTTATTTGCAACATGTTTTTAACAATTAATGTAAGTAAAGGAGTGATAATGTTTTAGCTTTATTAAGTTTGTCTTTGGTTAATCCTTTCACGAATTAAGTGTTGGATTTGGGCATAATTCTCTGGTTTCAAGAAATTTGGAGTTTCTCTCGTAAAAGTTCATCCAGTGTCAAGTTGTGGCCTGGAATTCTGTAGCTGGATCACTGTGAAGTATTGTATGCAGTGCTTGGAAACAGGAGCCTTGACATCAGGAATATTTGGGGAAGCCCCTCAAGTTGGTACTAAGTAGAGATACATACTTGCTACTTTTTTTTTTTTTTTTTAACTTGGTTTTGTGATGGGAGTGGAAAGCAGTGTTCAGATCCTTAAAATATGCTGTTCACATTTTTCCTTCTGGCTAATGTTTTTCCTGTTCTGGATGCATTTCTGTTGTTATTCCCTCTGCTTTAGCATTCTGTGTCTGTCAGATACTGATCTCTTAAAGAGTTTGGTAGGTTGCTAGTGTTTCTCAAATTTCCGGAAAAATTAAATTTCATTCAGAATCCTTCATTTCTTTCTGTTATCTGTATATGAGGAAACGACAACTTGTGGATGGGATTCTTTATCTCGTCTCCTTAGCTTGTCCAGTTTAAAGTTTTTATTTTTAAATCTCTACATACCATTCAAATTTGTCATGCAGCACTTTGTTTCCTTTTCTCTTCTTGTGATGTTATCCTGGATGCCCTATCAGAATTGGGTTCTGCCATCCATTTCCTCTGCAAGTTCTCCAGTTCTGGTCTGTAAAGCTACTGCTTTTTCTTCATTTTATTTGACTTTCTAAAATAGGTAATTTCCAAATAATTCAGTGATAGTAAGACAGAAACAAACAGAAGTACACCAGCTTGGTAGGAGGTGTTTGTTTGTCTAAACTACTATTCTTTATCTTTGTTTCATTCATCCCTTCTCCCTTCACTTGTATCTAAACAAGACTAATTACCCTTGTGGTAAAGACAAGGTCTTTGTTAATTGCATAGCACACATCATAAAAATGCTTTTCTGAAATATTTTCTGTAGCTCAAGGTTATGATGTTCAGATTCTGCAAAACATAAAATTAATTAATTAAACTATTGTCACTTTTTCATGGTCCTATTTTTTTAATTTAATTACATGCTATCTGTAATGAAGTAAAAATAAGTACCGAATGATGCAATAATGAATGTCTGTGTTCAAAAGAGAAAAGAATCTGCTAAATGAATTACATTAGCCACTGTACAAAAATGAACTTTTCTATTTCAGTGTGTAGAACAACATAGTAAGAATTACAAATTTTGTGAAAACCAATTTTGTTAATATAGGTTCATCGTTGGGTCAATTATGAATCGATGCTGAAGGAATGTCTTGTTGGGAGAATGGCTGTCAAGCCTATTGCTGCTCCAAAAGGTGAGGGTTTTAAGAATGACATAATTTCTATTACGCTTTATTCCAAAGTTGTCTGGAAATTATGAGAAATCTTAAATCATCATATTTACGAGGAGAGTCTCTCTACTTGCATAGAGATGAACCTGTTGCATATATTCAGTCTTTTTAAAACAGATACCTGAGGATGAAACTATTTTATGCATGAAGACTTTTACAAATAACATACTGCTACATTTCTTCTTTTGTTTTTAGTCATTGGAAGACAGATGTGTGTGTGTTAGGTGTGTATGTATACAGAAATAAAGATTGCTGCCCCCTGCCCCCAAGATCCCTCTTTCTTATTTTGATCACATGGGACAAACAAAAGTCAGTGTTTTCAGTCTGGTGATTTCAGCACCAGACATAGGTCTGGCAAGTTGCATATGTATTGAGATATTTGAATACACTTTATGGCCAGAACACTTTATTGGGTCCTTTAGTTTGGATTTGCTTGGAGAAATTTTGCTGGTACAACAGACTCCTCTGAGCCAGGACAGGAAGAGATGTAGTATGTTGTCTTAAAATACTAGTGATGGTTTCCAGAGACTTTAATCTCTGGTATTTGTTTTGGTTTGTAGGCCACAGCAAAAATTTCCTATACCTAGGAAGCAGATGCTGTTACTGTATATTGACGCTTAGTAAAACTGCAGTGAAAACATAAAAGAATTAATGTTTGCAACTGTTTTTCTCAAATTCCGCAGCATCCTTTAGTTCACAAATTCAGCCATCTCTTGTAGCTCTTCAACTTCTGACAAGGTGCACTGCATACTTGCTTAGCACTTAGATCGCATCGCCTAACAGTTAGGTTGAATTTGTTCTGTACGTGAAGGGGAATAGTATTTTACATCTCCATGTAGCTAGGTAGCTAATTCCAGTGTGGAGCTTTTAAGGTAAATGCTGCAAAGTATGAAGAAACCTCGACAGCGTAACTGCTTCGTGGAGTTGACGTGTTACAGATAAGTTACTGCCACTTTGTTAGCCAAGTTAGAAATTTAAAAATAAACCTGACTTTTGCTGATTTCCTTAATCTAACTTCTCTGCAACTGGAAGGAATTCTTGTGACAGCCAGTCAGTAAAAACCAAACATGTCTTTGCCCCTGCCAGCTATGACAGTCCATCTTCTGCTGTTTGCTTTGTTTTCTGCTTTCCTCTGTAATAGGACTGCTCTATCCATTTTGCTATAGTAAAATTTGCAGCATAAAGGTTGCCAGCTGTATAAAAAATGGTTCTGTTGTCTGTGTCGCTTTCGGCCATTTCAGGCTTGAAAAAATGTAACTTCATTAATTAAGAATAAAACTAATTAGACTCGATTTGCTGAAATTCTTCATTGTCAAATTCTCAAAGTTTACTTTGATTCCTGGTGGGCTATGTATCCTCCTGTTTTGAACAGTGAATTACCAAAACGTGATTGATTAACTTCACTGTCAGCCAGCAATAATTCTTGTCTTGTGCCCTTCCAGAAGACCATATACAGCAAAGTTTGCATTTGAAAATGGAATAATAAAATACAGAGTTAAGGTGCATGTTTTTTAATATAGGATTAAATAGGCCCATAAGTACAGAGGAAAGACAAGCCTTCAAATTATGGTATAAATTGCTTTCTTTTTGTGGCAGAAGGTTAGTGTTTGGCTGTAGGGCAAGCATCAGTACTTGCTGTTTGGTGCAGTCTCAGTACAGTGCAAGTAAGGCATATGTAGGTTTGTTGGGGTGCTGCTGGAAGATTTGTGGTTGTTTAGCTTAGTTTCCTGTGTTCTGGTGGTTTTTTGGAAGGTTGTACAATTATTTGCTTGCTGAACTGTTTAAGGAAGCTGAAGCTTGCCCTTGCCTACTCCAGGGCTTTTTGGGGTTTTTTTTTTTTTTTGATGGTGGTGTTTGTTTGTTTGTTTGGGGTTTGGTGGTGTTTGTTTGTTTGTTTTTAAGAAAGAAGAGTCTTTTGAAGATGCTGATGATAGTTAATGTTTTGTCAACTTGTCTTGTGGGAATGCTGCTTGATGGTATGGTAGTGACTAATGGGAATTTCTGATGTGTCCCTTCTGTGATGTTACAAAGCAGTGGAGCTGTGCACTGAAATGTGTAGTGTTTGTACTTGCTGAGAAGGCCAGTGCAGCAACTACAGCAGTACCCAGGCATGTAAGAGATTATTTCAGTATCTCCCTCAGCAAACCTGTACAGCATTAAACTGCTTGCCTTCCCTTCAGGGCACTGAGCTGTAAATGTTAGCGTGGGCATTAGTTTGTTGTCTGGTATCTTTTAATACTGCTAATATTTCTCATAGATGCATCTTAGCATATTTCCTGATGTTACTTCAGTGGTAACATAACTTGGGAGTTGGAATGCATATTGTATATTGTTAATTCAGTGAGATTAGGCAGAGAGCTATAGTGTCATCCAAGGAAGAAAGGTAGGGCTGTGTCTTGGAAATGCCTCAAACTGTCCTTAAAATTGCAAAGCCAGTTTTGGTGCAGTGTGTTAAAATGTAGTGAAATGAGTAGGCTTTTGTACACAAAAAATTACCTTTAATCAGAAATGAGTTTTTGTGAATGACTTGCCTATCCTGGCAGAAAGCCTGAAGTGGTGTAGAGCAGAATATACAAATACAGCCTCAACCAAAAATTTTAGGTGAACTGTCCCATTCGTCTTGTGGAGTGTTTTGTTTTTACCTTATAGTGGCACAACATGAAAGCCTCTGATGAAGGCAATTCTTGGTCAGCTCTGAAGACATTTTGCAGTACTGTATGCTTCGTGCTTTGTTCCAGGAGCCTTTCCTTCACTTCTCTCACAATGGCATTTTTCTTCTAACACTGGCTGCTGTGATGCAGAGAACTGGGAGGGATTCAGAAGAACAGGGGAGAAACATTCACATTTTGGTTTTCATAAAAGGGAGCAGGAAGAACACATTGGTTTCTCCCACTTCCTCAAACCTGGCTCCCATAAAAGAGAATATAAAATGGGCCTTCATATTGGGACATTCTGAGATATGCAATCTAGAGAAGGCAGGAAGGGGCTTGGGTACATCCAGAGGACTAGTTTCCCCACAGATTTGCTATGAGCAAGAAGGATATGTGGCTGAGAGGTGCAGTGCCTTTCCCCTCGAGTTGAGCACCTTATATGTGAATTGACACTGTGTAATTCACCTGCTTGGTCTTTATCTTCTTTTTTTCTGCTAGTGTTTGTTTGTTTGGAGTAGTTGCAGCATACTGTAGATTTAATGAAAAACTCAGATAATAACTTGTCAAATAAAACCATTTGACAGGAGCTTATAGGAAGATTTTCTTTTTCCTGGGTTTCTGCCAAGGATTGGGTCGGTCGGAGTCAGTGTCTACTCTGTGTTGTTGTGAGACAAGTGTCATCGAAAGTCTGACAGATTTAGTGAACTTCTTAGCTATGAAGTTTATAATTGTACAAGATAATCTGTGATGTTTGTTTTGAAGTGCCAGAGTTCTTGCATTTCCTACCCTTTAGTGCTGTGCAACTTTTGGCATTTTTAACATAGTATTTCTTTAATTATACATAATCTTTTGAAATGGTAATCAGTGCTGCATTTATTTGTGACTTCTTGGTATCTGAAGCATCCTGGTCAATCTGTTAATGTTTTGGAAGGTTTATCTGGAGATCCATACTTTGGCTTAATTCTTTAGCATGACGTGTGCAAGTACTGTGCTGTAACTTCTTACTGTTGTGCTCGTTGTTTTTTCTTAATGCTTGCAGGGATTCCTTCTACTCTATCTGAAGAGAAGAAACAGCTTAATGGTAAGTATTCACCTGGAGTGAGGTGGGGAGTAAATCTTATACTTATTTGAATATTATCAAATGAGCTGTGTTTATCCAAACTTCTGTCTGTCTTTATATTTGAATCTGATGTTGAGGCTCTGGTGATCTGTGGAAATTACAGAAGGCAAAATGCTAATCAGGTATTGTGAATTCAGTGTTTAAAAGTATTCTAAGACTGCAGTAGAGTACTATAGATAAGGGAGGTATGAGGTGGACAAACTTTCTGCTTGAGTCAGACAAGATAGGTCTCAAATTAGTGGGTGCTATGAAATCTGCCACTACAGAATTCCCAGGCTTTTTCATCCTTCTCTGTATCAGGAAAGCTAGGTGGCCATGAGGCTGGAGTAGCAGACAAAAAACAAGATCTTGGGGAACACCTAAAATTAATAAGTCTCTACTAAAAAGCTGAAAGGTCATCACTGGGAAATGAGTAGAAAGGGAGGTGAATTAGCTGATGACAGCATGACTGAACTACTTGAGATGTAACTGTGAGAATGGCAATTGGTGTAGCTTTGAGAGACCTGTGAATGTATCCGGAGGTTGATGGTGGGGCAACCCATCCTGTAGAGGTGGGGAAACATTCAAGCCTTCCATGAGCTGTTCCTTGAGTGTAGCTTTGGTTGCTAGTGATCAAGAACTATGCACTTGATTTTGATGCTTTTAGGGAAATGTTACAGACTGATGAGTTGTACTAGTATAAGAGACTTCCTAAAAGTGTGACTTGTGAAGTCCCATCAGATGAGGTGTGATGGGGGTGTGTTGGTGGAGCAAATAAGATGAACACCTGTGAAGGGAAGTAATACAATTTGAACTCAAGGCTGACCTATTGACATGAAAGGGGACAGGTGCAAATCGGTCATGGAAAAGTCTAGGCTGAAACTGTGGAAAAGGAGTCTAGAACATTCAAATTTTGGAGTGGCAGGAGGAGCAGAAACCTAGCTGTGTCTTAAGATGAAGCCAGAGAAGTTCTCAGGGTGGTGTCCCAGCAAGTTCAGGCACAGTGAGGAGAAGATGACTTGTTCATTCTTTCTCTGGTGGATTTGAGTTCCCATTTGTTTTCTTTTTCATGCTGTCTTCCTTGCTGTCCCTTTGTGTTCTGTGAATGTTGTATTTGACTTCTAAAAAGCAGTTTACCTTTTAGTATGCACAAGCATTGAGCTACACAAAAAGTTAAACATACATCATATAAAAGTAAGCAAGACTGATATAATTTGTTCTGTTTTGCTCTGTAACCTTATAAGATGTTACACTAAACTTTGACTGGGACTGCTGTCTGACTTTC